CACTTCTAGGAAATTAGAAATTAGTAATAAGAGGAAAATTGGAAAGTCTGAAAATACATGGAAATTAAACAACACACTTCTGAATAACCAATCGGTCAAAGAAGAAATCAAAGGGACATAAAAAATATTTTGAGACAGATGAAAATGGAAATGTAATATAAAAAATGTATGAGATGCAATAAAAGCAGTTCTATGAGGAAATTTACAGTGATCAATGCCTACATAAGGAAAAGAAAGATCACAAATAAACAGCCTAATTGTATATCTCAGGGAACTAGAAAAGAAACAAACCAAGACCATATAATAATAAAGATCAGAAAAGAGATCAATGAAACAAAAAATAGAGAAGCAATAGAAAATATCAATGATATTAAGAATTGATTTTTGAAAAGATAAACAAAATAGACTTTTAACTACACTAAAATAAGCAGGAAATACTCAAGTCAATAAAATACCTTGGAAACTGTCTTGTATGATTGGAGGAATTGATATTGTTAAAAATGTCCATATTACCCAAAGTAATCTATACTTCCAACATAATCCCTATAAAAATTCCAATGACATTTTGACTGGAATAGAAAAAACCTAAAATTCTATGGAATCTCAAAGGCCCTCGAATAGTTAAAGCAGTCATAAGGAAGCTGGGAGAGCCACACCACCTGATTTTAAAATATTTTACAAAGCTAAAGTAATTAAAAAAGTGTGGTACTGGCCTAAAAGCAGACATATGGAACAATGGAGCAGGATAGAAAGTCCAGAAATCAATCCACATATTTAGATTTCTTGTACTTTGTCTAAAATGCCAATGGGCAAAAAATACATTTTAAAAATAAATTGTATTGGGAAAACTGGATGCTCATAAGCAGAAAAATGAAATTGGGCCTTTATCTTCTACCATGTTTTTAAGTGCATGCTTACCTGAAAGTGTAAAACTACTAGTAGAAAACAGAGAGGGAAACCTTCTTGACTTTAATCTGGGCAATTAATTTTTATATGACTCCAAAAGCATGGGCAACAAAAGCAAAAATAGACAAATAGGATTGCATGGCACTCAAAAAGATTCTTCACAGCCAAGAAGCAATCCACATAGTGAAAGAGACAGCCTTCAAAATGAGAAAATGTATTTCCAAACACACATCAGATAGGGATTGGTATCTAAAGTACAGAGGGAAAGCAAACAATTCAGTGCTAAGAAAAACACATAACCTGTTTAGAAAATGGGCAAAGGACTTGAGTAGATATTTCTCAAAAGAAGACAGACAAATGGCTAAGAGATAAATGGAAAAATGCTTACCATCCTCAATTAGAGAAATGCTAATCAAAACACAAGGAGTTATCACCTGCTGCCTGTTAAAATGGCTGTTATCAGAAAGACAAAAGATAGTACATGCTGGAGGACATGGAGAGAAGGGAGCGTGTGTGCACCACTGGGTTGGTATAACCCTTATGCTGAACAGTATGGAGGTTCCTCAATAAATTAAAAATAAACTAGGCCTGCTGGCACACACCTGTAATCTCAGCACTTGGGAGGCTGAGGATGGAGGACTGCAAATTCAAGGCCAGCCTGACTACATGGTAAGACCCTGCCTCTAAATGAATGAATAAATGAACCAAAGCACCGCTCTAACAGTCCCACTTTGGGTATACATCTAAAAGAAATGACACCAGCACACTGAAATGTGCGCCTTTGTGCTCATCGCATTGAGATACAGACTCAACCTATGTGTCCATCCGCAGACACGGGGATAGAGAAACTGTGAGACATAAACGTGTCTGTGTGTACACATGTACAGCAGAATACTTTTCAGCCTTAAAAGAGAGAATGTGGGTACGTGCTACAGCATGGATGGGCTTTGACACGAGCCCATCTTGCCAAGTGAGACGAGCCAGTCAGGAAAGGACAAGTGTCGTAGGGTTCCCCTTACTGAGTGCCTGGAGTAGTCATGCTATGGAATCGAAAGTGGAACATGGGAGGCTGGGGGAGGAAACAGGGCATCATATTTTAGTGGGTACAGAGTTTTAGGCAGGATGTGAAAGTTATTGTGATCTAATATACCGCATGGCTAATATAGTTAATACTGGGCTGTGCACTTGGGATTTATTATGAAATAAATCTTAAATGTTCTCATTACACACAAAGTAACTATGTGAGTGTTATAGATGTTGATTAGCTCGACTGTAGTAATCGTCTCATAATTCATACTTGTATTAAGACATCACATTGTGCACCTTCAATATATGCAACTTTATTTGTAAATCATACCTCAAAGAGCTGGAAAATATTGTAAAGCCTCCCGTTGGCCCTGCAAATGCTCAAGCAGCCAATTCCACTGGATCATGAGGTTTCATTAGTGTGAGCGTGGGTTTTGTGGGAACAAGAGCGGGGTGTTCTCAGCATTGCCCTTTCCTAGGTCAGTCGAGGAGTTGTTTAACTAAAGGAGGATTTAGTGCATGAGCCTCCACAGCCGCTCTGTTTTGAAATGGCCCCAGTAATTGGACAATGTAGGAGGAGGAGTGCTGGGCAGGCAGGTGGGTGGGCTGCATTGGATCCTGGTTCCTCCTCTGGAACCACGTGGCCTTGGGCAGTCACCGAGACTCCAGGTAGGCTGTTACCTCCCCGCAGTGCTGCAGTAGCTCATGGACCAGCGATGGAGTGGAGCACGTGGTCTCTTTGCTCTCTGCTTGTCACAGGGGGTGGTGGCATCTTCCTGGCTGCAGCTGCAGATGCTGAAGTCCTTTTCAACTGGAAGCATCAATGACTCTTCTACTTGATCATTCAAAGGAGATAAAGTCCTAAAAAGCTAATTTGACACAATTAATTCAGCTCTAACTGTGTCTCAGTGTTTCATTTATCTGTGGCCATGTAACAAACTGTCCCCCAAACTTAGCAACATAAAGCAACAGCGTCTTATTATTTCTTTTGATTTCAGGGGGTTATCTGGGCTAAATGGGTCATTTCTGCTTCTCATGATTTCTGCTGGGGCTGGAACGCACCACACAGCTTCTCCATTTAAGAGTTTGCCAGGGTGGCTGGGCCGGCCAGAGCTGACCAGGACCTCTCTCAGCAGCGTCTGCAGAGGGTAGCTGCACCTTCACTATGGTGGTGCAGGTGCCAGAGTCCCCAGGATGTGCAAGAGGTGAGCCCCACATGCAGCTGCTTCCCAGAGTTCCTCTTGCCTTGTGCTTGCCAACGTCACACTCAGTGAAGGAAACCCATGCCAAACCCAGAGTCAGTGGCGAGGAGGCCACACGCGAGCTCCAGTACTGGGTAGCGTGTCCGCTGGGCACTGCCCTGTAACACACATCAACAGCCGGCCCAGGTGTTGTTGATGTGAGCGGCCGTGGTAAAGCAGCAGGGCTGTGTTTCCAGTTGCTTCAGGGGTTAGGGTGCATTTTCCGGCTGCTGTTCTAGCCAGAAGTCAGGCTCTGTAAGCAGAAGCAAGTATTGAGGGAATGTGTGAGCCCAGTGGAACTAGGTAGTGCCAAGAGCACTGCTGCCAGCTTCCCTGGTCTCTCCCCACAGCAGAACCTCTCTTCCCAACCCAGCCCTGGCATTCGCCACAAGAGGAAGACAAAGATGCAGCCCTTACTTGAAGCCACACCGTGACATCATTCCTCCTGCATCCCTGCCCTGGGCCTCTGTGGGACTGGGTTTTCTGGCTTGGCCCTGGCCAAACAGACTCAGGCCCAGCAGCCTCGGCCAGGTTCACCTGCCTCAGAACCCCTTGTCCCCGCCCCTGACACGTGTCAGTAGATTTGTGCACCAAAGCAGCTGGAAGCTGGGCCAGAAGGAGCTTGATGAAGATGATTCCACCTGCCCCATAGTTGCCTAGCAAGGTTCAGCATTGGGCCCGGTGCTGATTTCACAAGTAATGCACCGAGCACATTCGTCGGTGACAAGTGCTCGCTTTTACCATCTGCAGTGGCTCTGAAAAGCCATCGTCATGGTCGGTGGGTGTGGAGTGAGTGATGTCACTGTGATAGGTGGCACATGGACACCCTGGAAACTTGGGCTGGGCCAGGTCACCAGTTCTGGACCCTTTGATTTACAGGCAGACACTGAGACCTGGAAAACGACCTGCCCGATTATTGGGTAAGCAAGGGCAGAGCTGGCACCAGATCCCAGGGCCCTGCTGTCCTGGTCCCTCCTCTTTTCACAGCAGCCAGTGCTGAAGGGGTCCCCAGTCCGCAGACAACCCCGAGAGGGTTTCATGAAGCTGAAACCCCTCTTTCCCAATCGGACTTGAGAACTCCACAGGTACAACAAAGTGGCTTTATTGACTTCTTTGCTTCTCAACTCGGTGCAATAAAAAGTAAAATAAAATGAGAACAAACTAAACAAATACAAGATTGTAACCATCAGAACTATTTCTCAGTTATGAAAAGTCAGAAATGGAAAAAGGAAGTAATAGTCCCTAAGAATTCTACCAAAAAGTGTTTCTCCTTACCTTTTAGGTGGAAAGACAGAAGCAAAGAGCCCCTCAAGGGATGACTGTGGAGAAATATGACAAATTATTTAGCACATATGCCTAAAATTATATGCACATGTTCTCCCATTCACAAACACTACTGAAGCCTGCTTTATCCCTCTGTAAATGTCTCCTCCCTGCAGTGCGGAGCAGCAATCCCAGCATCCTCATACTTTGTTTTTCATTCTTTCATTTGTGTGCCTTGAGAACAGTAGTCGTGGTGATTTCAGAAGACTCCAATAGCATTTATGTAATATTGAAAAATTTACAAAGCTGGACATAGGACCCCAGGCTTCAAAAAACCTTAAATCTGGACAAGTGATTTATTAGGTAGAATGACAGGGTTTGGAGATTAGGGAGTGAGCTGAGAAATAAAGAAAGATATTTCGCTGGGGATCTCCACAGTCCAGCCCTTTGAGGAAAATCTGCTACTCCATACAGCAATGTGCGTGGGCCCCAGAGCCCTCCTTTGTCAACTGGAGCGGGTCAGAGAGGGGGAGTCACTCAGAATCGAGCTAGCCCAGTCGGTGACCCAGCCAACAGAAGAAATGAGGAAGGCATGAGTACTCTCTGCAATCCTCACTTGCATCCAGGGCTGGTTTTATAACATGTCGGCCCAAGGAACCCCGGAAAGGGCCCTGACCCTAGACCTCAGTGTCCACCCGGTCCCCAGGACTGGCCTGCTCAGTCTGGTGCCAGTGAAGTTTCCGGCTCTGCAGGCCCAGCTCCTGGCAGCTCCCACCCCGCCCTCCGCCTTGAGTTCAGGGGAGATCGTTTAATTCGCGTGACATAAACCACCTCTTTATCCTGTACGATTTGGTGGCTTTGGCATGTCACAGTGATGTGGCCATTGTCACTGTCACCCTAGAATGTTTTGGTCACTGTGTGCTCATAGATAATCGCTGTCAAGTCTGCCCTCTGCCCTCCAGCCCCAAAAACTAGCGGTCTCCTGTTTCTCTCACCAGACCTGCTTCATCCGGGCATTTTAGATAAGTAGATCCTTACAACATGTGGCCCTTGGATGCTGGTTTCCTTCATTTACCGTAATGCTTTCAGTGTTCATTCATCTTGGAGTAGGTATCAGCACTTCTTTCACTTTATGGCCACTCCACACTGCATTTTGTTTACTCCGTTGTCTGCTGATGCATGGAGCACATTTTGGCACCAGTCTGGGCTGCATGTGAAGTCTGTAGACATAGACAGGCTCCTCACCTCTTGGTGGAGAGACCTGTGGCAAACTTTGTGTTTAGGAGGATTATCAGGGCAGGCCTGGGATGGTCCTATGAGGTGAATTGGAGCGTTTCTTCTACAGATAGGAGGGAAATAGGACTGCCAGGGCCGTCCAGGGGACTGTGACCGAAGCACCGCTGGCCTATGATTCTGTGTCTCTCTCTTCTCTCCTGGCTCTGACCCTCAGAGCAGCTCCCCCTGGGGGTCGGAGGCCGGTGGCGGTTCCAGCCTCGTCTGTTTCCTCTGGCAGCTGTGTGGAACATCAGCTGACCAGGCTCTTTCCTGGAATGTGTTGCAAGCCTAGCATTTCCTCTTGCACGTCAGCTGCCAGCCCAGTGCTGATGAACCAATGACTCGGTTTCCCTGTTGCGATGGCTGTGTCTCATAGAGGCCCATTGCCGCAACCTGCAGGCTGTGGGACGTGGCCTGGGCACCTGTGAGCCCATCCACTTCAGCTGTGTTCAGTGGGACTGGGAGGGGAGGCTGCCGGAGGCCGCAGGGTGCTGTGGCCCGCAGGGGCCAAGGGCAAAGCAATCAGTGAGGCCAGGGAGAGCTGGGCTGGGACCCTGAGCCCCTCCAATCGCTCCCAGTGGCCTCTCCCACCCCGCAAGCCCTGTAGTGCCCCTCCTGGGCGTCCAGCTGCCGCCCTCCCCACTGCCCGATCTTGCTGGTTCTCAAGACAGGGGAGAAGAGAGCAAAGTCAGGATGCGGAAATGGAGTGGCTGGGGCACCCAGGACTGGTCAAGGTGGGACACAAATACTGACTGCCATTTAGAGAAGAATATGTGCAATATACACAAGTTTGCACGCATGCACATACACACACACATGTGGCCACGTGTTCACACATGCACTTCTATGCACACAGACTTGCATACGCATGTGCACATGCATGTGCGCGTGCACACACACACAGACACACACACACTCATCTGGTTTCCCAAAAGGTCTCTTCAGGAGCGAGTTCCTCGGGCTGGGAGACAGCTGGCGGTGTTGAGACTGAAGTCTGCTTCTGCTCACAGGGAGGTGGGCAGGACCCGTGGTGCCCTGTGAGCACAGAGGGCGTGGGCCCGTCTGCAGCTCTGCGGCTCACTGCGACTCTGGGTGAGCCCTGCAGTCCAGAGCAACACACAGCGGGTGTGCAAGACACATTCGTGCACATTGGCCCTATTTCATAGCCATGTTACTCTCTGAAAGTTTTGAAGCAACTTAGAATAATAATGAACAAAGCCAGGCTTGGTGCCTACTACTAAGCCTATAATTTGAGCACTCTGGGAGGCTGAGTCAAGAGGACCACAAGTTCTAGCCCAGTCTGAGAAACTTAGCAAGATCCTGTCTCCAAAATAAAAAGGGGTGGGGATGTACAGATGTAGCTCAGGTAAAGGCCCTGGGCTCACTCTGCAGTACTGAAAAGAAAATTAAACAAAACAACAAAAAGGTGCATCAGTGATATGAGAGGAACACAACGATGATGGACATATAAAGTTAAAAGGTGAAATCAGCACTTGAACTCTGATGTGGCCAGGGAGATCGCATTTCACCCTGGAGAGATGAAGCCCTCCATGCTGGTGAGGGAGATACTGCCCTGGGCCTGACCCCGAGGACACACTGGGCAGAGCCGGGTGGCCTCGGCCTCCCTCAGGGGCAGACAAGGGCCCACAGGACAGCTTCAGGGACAGCAGCACCTAAGTTTGACCCTGGTAAGCTCAGGACTGCCCTTCTGGAGCACCCAGGTTATCTTTGATTCTTTTCATCCTAACAAACGAGCAGGACACAGGGGAGGCAGAGGGAGGACAGTGCACTGTGAACAGCCTTACACCGGGCTGCCTGGGCTCGAATTCGGCCCCATCAGAATTGCTCTGCCAGTGCACAGTTACTTAGTTTCTGCACTTCAGTTTCCTAACTGGTAGAAGTGTGTCAGCATGCTAGCCTCAGGGTTCTCTGAGGATGAATCGCGTTGGGAGGCATGTGTAGTGTGGAGCGGCACTTGGCATGCAGGGAGGACTGGCGAGCAGTGGCTGTCGGGAGGGCGTGGGCCCCCGAGTGTGCAGTTCTTGTGGTGCTGGGCTCTGCACTTTCCAGCCTGTGGCCCTCAGGAAGGTGTCCCCTCTCCCCTCTCCCCTCAGGATTTGGGGCGGTGACTCACTCAGCCAGGGCAGAATTTCCACAAGTGCAGCCGGGGTCCTGTGATCAGGGTTGAGCAAGGTGTGTGTGTGCGTGCATGTGGGTGTGTGTGCATGTGTGTTTCTTGTGCCTTTTATTGCTTTGCTTGAGGAAGGCAGATTCTTGGTGGCATCCAATCACAACCTCACTTTACAGCTGTGTGATGCTGACAGGCACATGTCGCCCACCTTATCTGTGTGACCTAGAAGCTTGAACCACATTCAGTTGGGGTTGAGGCGGAAAGCGAAGCAGTGGGTCCTCCACAGCAGGTGGGCAGCTGAGCTCGGGAAGGACATCAGACACCAGACTGCAGTCTCTGGTCCGAGGTTCACAGTGCCACTCCTGACTGGGCTGCCTCCTGGGGACTGGGAAAATCATGGGCACCACAGGCCCTCAGGGCCCACCTAGCAGAGTCCCTGGGGTCTTCCATGCACGCAAGGTGCTGGCCACCTTCAGGGGCTGTCGTGTGACGACCCAAGTGAGAGCTGGAGGGCGGAGATGGCTGAAATCTGATCTAGAGAGCACCTCTGTCCATGCAGCAGAGCCCAGCCTCCTGCTGACCCCGCCGGTCTGATGGCTGGAGCATGTGCTCCTTCTTCCAGGAGGGTGTGCAGCTGACTTTGGAAGACCGTGCTCTCGGCCTGGAGCCCGTGGTGCAGTGTCTGCCCTGGGCACGAAGAGGAAGGAGGAGAGTTCTCAGGGCTGAGGCCTGAGCTGAGCTGAGTGGGGAGTGGAGGAGGAATGGGTGGAAATGGGAGTGGCCCAAAGCACCGGATCAGCACTGGGAGGGTTTGGCTGGAGTGAGGACAGCTGGGGGCCCCACACGAGCAGCTTTGACTTAATTCTCTTGGAGGACAGGCCAAGGACTCGCCTCTGACCCTATCCATGGGCGCCTTTCACAGGCAGTGTCAGGGGCCAGGGCAGGGTGAGGGTCTGCAGCCGTGTGTGCAAATGGGAGTGCATGACACCCAGTGTGCAGGGCAACCATGTCCTGAGCACCTTTTGCCCTTGCTGGTTCACGGCTCTCAGTCTTCCTGGCCCTGAGCAGGTGATCTAGGGTTTACATACGCTTGGATTTTACAAGTCTACTCACATCACACTGTGCCATCTTGTCAGAAGGAGAAACTGAGGCAAAAGATCCTGAAGAACCTGCGGGGAGGAGCTGCCCTCCAATCTGAAACAAGACGCAGGGAACAGACTGCCCAGGCTCCTTCGTTCAGCAGTCTGCACCTGTATTTGGTTCTTTCCCTCCATATCTTGGAAAGAGGGGAGAGAGAAGTTCTTTGGGCAACGGCCATCTGGAGCACTTCTCACTGGGCACAGGTTTGGGGGGGGGATGGCAGGAGGCTGTTGCCCCAATATTCCTTAGACTGTGGGTGAATGGAGAGCTAGAAGTATGGAGATTCAGCAGGTTAGGATTGATGTAGGGGCCGGGTGGCTCCAGCACTCTTGGAGCTCAAAGCAGGAAGATCATCAGTTCAAGGCCAGCCTGGGTAATTTAGCAATTTAGGAAGGCTCAGTCTCAAAATAAAAAGAGGGCTGGGGATGTAGCTCAGGGTGAAGGCCCCGGGTTCCACCCCCACTACCAAAACAACGGAAACAAAGGAAGAGAAGAAGGAAAAGAGAGCATGAAGAGAGAGACAGAGAGACGGAGACAGAAAGACGGAGACAGAGGGGAGAGAGAGAGACAGTGTGGTCCCCTCTTAACCCCTAGCTGTGTGGGAAAGAGACAGGAGGAGGAAGACTGCACAGGAGACAGGAGGGCGTGGCCTGAGCTGGAGCAGAGGGGCCGCTGGTGGCCTGGCGCTGAAACCCTACTGCTAAGCCGGGCCCTTCCACAGCCCTGCTGTGAGGGTGAGGAAGAGCACTGGCTGCGGTTGGTCCAGGACCCTCGGGGGAGCGCTTGTCCGCCCGCCCATTACCCCGGCCCTGGGAGCCTCCTCTCTCCCCTGCCCAGAAGCTCTCTTGCTCTCTCTGTCCCCGGGCTTTGAGAAGGGCAGGGCGCCCCGCCCAGGAGGGGAAGTGAACAGCAGCCTCCGCCCTGGGTTCCCAGTGAGCGTGTGAGCGTGTGAACGTGTGTGAGTGTGTGTGTGTGTGTGTGTGTGTGTAGGCTCACGCAGATCAGACACAGAGCGCAGAGTGGAGAGCTTCCCGGACCTTCACAGAGAGCTTGGCCCTTGAAGCTTGTCACAGCCGGCCCAGCTGAGCAGAGGCGCAGGAGCAGCCTGGGGTAAGTGACGTGCTGGGGACTGGGGCGAAGGCAAGGGGGCTCGGGCGGAGCTGGACGTGTAGCGAGCGGAGAGGGAAGGGGACCCCTGTGGCCCTCTGCCCACCCCCCCTCGATGCCCCAGCCCTATATCTCCGTCCCTGGGCCCTGCTACCTGCAGCCACGTGGGGGCTGGGAACCCCAAGTGCAGCCACTAAGCGGGACCCACACAGTCACCCGGTAGGGAGGCACCATGGCCAGTGCTCACGCAGGGGACACTGAGGAAGCCAGATTTCCCAGGCCCCCAGAACCAGAGTCGTGGCGCAAAAGTCCTGATTCTGCTGTAGGTGTCCCCACAGCCAGATCACAGAAGCTCGGGGACACTCGGACCTTCAGGAGGCAGGAGGTGATGCCTGGAATGGAAGTTTCACTTGTCCGGCAGCCCAACCCTCATGTGGCGCATTCTGGGGAGCAGAGGTGGGGAGAGCAGGCCTTGGAGCTGGCGCGGGGGTGCAGGGCGGTGGCAGCCTGGCCGGCAGCCCTCCCTTTTGCTTCTCTAGCTTCTCCATCTCTGTCTTCTCCAGGTGATGCTGGGCTATGGCTTCACATCTCCATGGACCCTCTGAGGCTGGTGGGACCCCTCGCTACCTACAGCCTGGGCTGGTGTTCCCCGAGGTGAGACTGATGAGGGGTCTGCTCCTTCTTGGGTGCCAGGGATAAGCAGAGCCATAGGCTGTGACACCAGCAGCTCAGAATCCTCAGAGGGGCCTTGCACGGCAGGGATCTGACCCCTCTTTGGTCACCCCGCCCCCTTAGCAATGTCCACTCTGTGTCTCCTTCCTGGGTGAGCAGCGGTCAGCGGAAGGCAAGCGTGGGAAGCATTTCCCTCCTGCCCGACAGCTCCACGCCTCCTGGTTCTCCTGGGGTTTATGAACCTCTGTCTGGCTCTCCGGGGCCCAAACCTGGGCTTCTTCCCAAGGCACTGAGTGGTCACTCAGTGAGCAGGAAGTGGGCCTGGGTCTTGTGCCAGGCTGCTCACCGGTCAGCAGGAAGACTGACGCTGGAGCAGGTGATTGGAGCTCGGCATGGGCAGGCAGAAGATGGGGTCTCCAGGGACGGGGGGCGGGCGGGACTGGGTTGGCGAGCAACTGCCCTGAGTGCTGTCGTGGTCCTCAGCACATTGCCATCCTGGCCTCGGGGTGACACAGGTCAGCAGGAACTGGGACCCAGGTGGGGCTGCGGCCCGTGGTGCCCTGTGTCCCAAGACTTCCTGCCCCATGAGGCCCAGGCAGGAGTCGGTGCAGCTCTTTTGCCTTCTCTCCCTTCAGCAGCCGGTCCTCAGTCCCTCTGATTGCACAGACAGAGCGGCCCCCTTAGCACCGGAAGGGCTCCACTGCCTGCGGGGACCCTGAAGGCTTCCAGTCCTAGCAGGGGCACAGAAGCGCCCCACCGGTCCCACCGCTCAGTGCCCACTGGCCTCGGCCCCCAGGACCGCTCTCCTCCCCTCCCCCCTCCCACACCCACACATCTTTAGATTCAGGCCAGTGTCCTGTCTTTTGAGCTTCCCCACCCCCAAGGCCAGGCTGTTCCCCTCCTGAGCTTTGCCCAGCTCTAGTCTCGGCCTCTGCTCTCACCCTGGGCAGAGCACAACTCAAGTCCATGGCCTCTGACGTCAGTGAGAAGTGTTCCATACTATTCCACACACTTGTCCAAAACTCAGTAAGTGATAAAATGCAAGCTCCTTACAGCGGCCTTCAAGAACCACTGTTAACCAACTCAGGCCCGTCTGTCTGCGATCCCCCAGGCAGGAGTCTGCATCCCTGTCCACTGGCTCCTCCCTAGCCTCTGTACTCCTCAGCCTGTGCTGACTTCCGGAACCTTGCATCCTCCCATGGCACCAGCCACACACTCAAGGATGGTTGACTCCAACCTTGGGGGGGCTCTGAGCTCCCCAGGGCAGGGGCTCCAGGTGGGTTCACCCCAATCCTTCAGCATTAACTTAGGGCCATACCCATGGGAGACACCCAGCTGGTCCATCTCTGTAGTCTGTATTGGCCAGGATTAAAAAGATCCGAGACCAGCGAGCGGCATGCACATCCCAGCCTCACTCCTCCGCTCCATGGGGCTGGTTTGGTGGGCAGATGCTTGCCGCGTGTCCTGGGGTCGGACGGTGGAGGCAGTGTCTGAGCAGCCGGAATCGGAGGCCAGCCTGGTGCAGCGAGCTCAGTCAGAGGTGTGGTGAGGCTGGGAGGGTCAGGCCTGGAGGGCGGGAGAGGCCAGTGGGAAGCACTTCAGGGAAGCTCCCCGGAGGCATCCATGGGAGTTGCTGAACTGGCTGGACCGGGCAGGCCTTGGGGTCCACAGCTTCCTTGGGACCTGCACTGTCCAGCCACTGGCCACGTGGTCCCCAGCATTTCCGGGCCTCCGTTTTCTTATCTGTCAGATGGGGACAACACCAATGCCTGCTTATGGACAGGAGCTGGAGAGGGGCTGGGTACAGGCTGCTGGGTACTGTGGCTGGACACACAAGCAGCTGCTTTGTTACTGGCGTCTGTGTTCAGCTGCAAGCAGGGCAGGGGCTTCTTCACGGGACAGAGCAGAGGGTGAGGACCCACCAGGCACTGAGGTGGACGGCATCCCTGGAGCTGAGGGGTGAGCTGAGTGTGGCCCGCAGAAGGGCAGGCTCTGGGGAACAGCAGTGCAGGGGGGGCCAGGGTTTAATCCCATCTGCCCGCTGGGAGGAGGACGAGTCTCAGTGAACGTCCCCTGTGTGTCCAGCAGGTGGCGCGCGTGCGCCGGCGCCAGTGGACCCTCTCAGCCCTGCAAGGCCAGGCCACAGGGCTCCCGTGCGAGTTAGATCAGCGGGGCTGGGGCTCTGTGGGACACGCGTGGGAAAGCTCCTCCTCGTCCCTGTCAGGGTCTTGGTCCAGCGCCCGGCCCCAGAAGGGTGCTGTGGCCCTAGGGTAGCACCTCAGTGCCATGGGCTCCCGGTGACCCGTCTGTCCGTGCACCTGTGTGGGTGGCCTCATTCACTCTGCTAGCACCAGGGTGCAGGTTAAGTTAGAATGGAAAACTGAATGCATTTGAAAGCCATGCTCTGTGGCAAGGGTCATCAGACAGCGAAAGACGTCTTTGTGTGTTTACAAGGGCAAGGAAGCCTGGGTGTGAATCAGAGGGCTCTCAGATCTGGGTAGGTCGAGGGCATGGTGCTGGGGCAGTGATGGAGAGAGGCCCTGTCTGAGCTCCTCTGCCCAGAAGCCTGGGAGGCAGGAAGGCTATGGCACAAACCAGGCTGCTCAGATTACAATTTGGCTCCTATCAGGAGTGTATCTTTGGACACGTTACTTAACCTTCTGGTGCCTCAGTTTCTCCACCCGTAAAATGAAGAGAATGGGAGTATAACTTGCATACTATTGTGCAGTGTTTGAATGATTTGGATATAGATACTGGTGCATACAGCAGCAGGTGCAAAACAGATGTGTACTGTTGTCTCCCTTTCATTTCAGTCCCTCGTTCAGTAAAACAGGCAGATCACCTTGTCCTCCTAGAAGAATTAGCTGAGCTCCAGAAGAATTCGGAGAGGGAAGGCGCTCAAGTTGACACCGTCTCTTCCTCCTCTCTAGGTCTTCTTTTTCTCACAAAAGAAGCCAGGATAGGGCCGGGGATTTAGCTCAGTGGTTCTGGCACCTGCCTCACAAGCGCAAGGTCCCGAGTTCGATCCCTGGTATCAAAGAAAGAAGCCGGCTTAGCTCACCTCCCTGCATGTCTGTCCCCACGGCATGTGCTGTTCCTCTGGCGGCTGGAGTTACCTGGGGACTGGGGCTCACGGTAAGTGATGCACCTTGGGCGGCCCAGGCTGGAGGGAGGGCCCTGCTGCGCCTGTGCACTCCGTCCCAGCACCGCTGGTCTCCCAGGTGCCCCGTGAGGCCTGAGGGCCGGCCTCTGCTCCCACGTACCTCCTGTTCTCTCTCAGGTGCCCATCCCTGGGTGCGGTGGGGGCCACTGGGGCCACAGGGAGTACAGAGAGGGTTCCGAACCCACTCCGTAGCATCCACGTCCCTGCCTGCCACCATGCACCTCCCCAAGTGCCTTCTGCCAGGCATCCTCAGCGTGAGACCTGAGAATTTTCTTCGTAGGGTCTGCAGGTTGCTCTCAGCAGCTTGAAGACCAAGACACAAAAGAGAAAACACAAGCAGCTGCTAGACCAGCTTCACTCATTTTCCTCCATCTCCCCACCCCGCCCTGCCTTCATCGGGATGTTAATTCTGGGGCCCACGACTCTGTGGACCTGTGCTGTGGACTGGCCCCCAGGGAACTTGTGTAGCTCCGTAAGTGGTGGAAACAGCCTCTTGCTGCCCTACAGCTAGGGAGAAGACCGTGCTAGCTCCAGGGGCTGGAGCCAGACTCCCAGCTCTGATCTTGGCTGTGCTACTGCCTTATTATCTGACCATGAACGAGCACTTCTCATCCTCAGGTCTTCCTTAATTTCCCCAGCTTTCCAGGGTCTCATAGTAGCAGGGGTCTGGCAGTATGGCTGGAGCAGTCGGATGTGATGGCCGAGTGAGGAGACTCACTAACCACAGATGGAGAATGGCAGCACCCAAGCCTGACTCGGGACCAAGCTGAACCCTGTACCCAGCACCAGTGAGAACATGAAGAACCTGGCACGTGATATCAGTCTTCTAGCACGAGGCCAGTGTGACCTCCGGGGTCAGCTGTGGAGACACAGAAGGGCGGCAGTGACTGAGCTGTGGCCACCGACCTCTTGCTCTTGCAGCATCTGTTCTGTGTGCAGGACACACCCGCTCTTTTTCCTTCAGAGCACCTTTTCTCCCTGAGCACTTCTGTGCTTCTCCCTTTTATTCCTGCCCTAAATAAATGGTAATCTTTCACATCCACCAATTGTCCTGACCAATTCGTTGACTGGGACAAATAAGAACCTGGGAAACGCTGTTGGTCCCCACCCCACCCAGTGACACACCCCGTGAAGCTGCCCAGGAGGTAAGGAAAGGAGGTGGGAGGCGGGTCAGGAGGTCGGCTGCCGGGAGTGGTTGTTCCTTGGCCTCTGAAGTCTGTGGACTCAAGCGGAGAAGGACTAATGTAAGGATGGGTTGTTTGTTCCCTCTCTCTCCCCTAGCAAGGTCCCAGTCCTCTTTCAGGCCCCTTCTGTTCTCTTCCCTCCCAAGACTGGTAGAGGACAGTGGTGCAAGCTGGTGGGAGCTGGGGACCCCATGGTCCTGCCAGCAGCCGGAAGCGGGGAGCAGATGTCTAGGAGTGAAAAGCTGGTGTGGGTGCAGCTGGGCTTGGGTCTCGGCAGTGCAGAGCCAGCTGAGAGGCACAGCCCTTTAAGTCCTGGCCGCTGTATGTCTGAGTAGTAGCTGAGCACAGATGTCCTCAGGTGGGGTGGAGCCCAAGAGCCACTGAGTGCCCTGGAGGGGTCAGAAGACCCGTGTAGAAAGGGTAGGGGCTACGGCCGGGGTGGACAGGGTGATTGTGGTCAGCAGTGCACCTGAGCTGGTCCCAGAGCTATGGCCACCATTTCGGCTGCTCCTGGACATACTCAATCCCCAGAGGCCCGGCCAACAGTTTACAAGTTGCTCCTGCTTATTTAAAAGAGGTCAAAAGCAGCTCCTCCCTGTTTAAAAGCAGCTGGCCTGTTTCAAGGTGCAGCTCTCCCTCCTTTGGAACGATTGTCTTTCAAATAATTTATTTGTTTAAAAACAAAACCTTTTCCACTCAGATGATTTCTTTACTTTCTAAAGATTCTGTGAGACCTTGAATCAGAAACACCTGGTCTACCTCAGTTAAATGGTGACTGCTTAGACTGTTTGACTAAGAAAATTTAGGCAATGTTGACAAGTCTGAAACCAAGAAAGGTTTTACCTGGATGTCTGGAGATACAAGAGCAGGTGTTTAATTCAGGTATTTTAAAGCCTTTGAATTTAATTTATTTACCTACTCTATGATTATTTCACATATAAAAATTCATTGAAATGCCATCTTATTGTAAATTAGCTGTAAGATAATCAGGGTCTTCTGATGACATGCAGTATCTGTCCCAAATAATGCATGAATGAGATTTCCCAGGTTTCCATTGGAGTAATACACATGCTTTAATTTTGAATCGTAGGTGAACATGATATAAGAATACATGCCTGCCAGGGATTTAGCTCAGTGGTTCTGCTGCCTGCCTCGCAAGCACAAGGTCCGGAGTTTGATCCCCCCTGTACCAAGAAAAAAAAAAAAAAAAGAACACATGCCAGCTTACTTGTGAAAAAAAAATTAAAATTATTTTAAGTGTGTTTTTATTTGTAAAATGTTATGATTATCATTCTAATCTGGTGGTAAAGATAGTCTTAACTTGTAAGTACTGGAATGTAGGTTTTTAAAACTCAGTGGGAAAATTGTAGCACTATCCTACTTTAGGCATTCTTGTGCTTTATTAGGCTACCTAATTAAAATCTATAGATATGTCTGTGAAAGTCTTATTCTAAGAATGCTGGCTGTGGGTTAGTTGTTATTCTATTCTTTATTAAGGAGAAGAGAGTGAAATTATTTCATAGCCAGGAGCTCAAAAGACCTTGTAACTTCTAGCCTGGAGAACATCTAGGGAGTGAACTATTCCTTGGTTTGTGACTTACGGAGGACTTGCTCGACATTAGGTTGCGTGGTTCAACAGGGGGAGCAGTTTGACCCTGATGATTGGAAAAAGGAATAACTTGTCCTCTATTGTAACACAGATTGGGTTCAGTACAAACTAGCTCACGATGTGAGGTGAGTAAAAGGTGGCAGTTTAAATTATACTATTTTGCAGTTAGGCAGTTTTTGCAGAAAGATTTTCTTCAGGCTTTTGTAAACTGGAAAACCCAGAGACTCTGGTAGAGTGGCCCCTGAGGTAGAGGAAGTTGAGCTTCTTGATGTCCCTGGCCTCAGATCTCTACCTGTCTATCGAGAATATGGTTTGTCTTAGATATCTGTTTGATGAAAGTACCCACTCCTCAACCTCTTTCTTATAATCCTCAGGCTAGTGGAACAGTCCCCTTCCCTTCAAGTGACTCAGAACCTAGTGCCTGGAGGGATCCAGTATTCCCCAGCCTCATCATGCTCATGAGACAACTTTCAGTCCTGCAGGACATACTCAGAGTAGAGCTTCCTACTCCACTAACTTACCTCTCATCCTGCCCCCGACAGGGCCCAGGAGCAAAAGGAATTGCTGGAGTCCAGGCCCCTCTTTCAATAGCAGAGATACAAAAATGCAAAGAATGGCTAGGCTTTCAGAAGATCCTAGTAGGTTTGTAGATGGTTTCAAACTTTGACCCTTGCTTTTGACCTGTTGTGGCAAGATGTCCAGTTCATCTTGACCACTTGCTGTATCCCAGGTAAAAAACAGAATCCTAGGAGAGACTGGGAACTGTGCAGATAAACAATATATTACATGAAGTTAAGGAAATCACCCAGGAGAGGTTATTATTTCTTCAACAGAACCAAACTGGAACTATAATACTAGAGATGGACTAAGAATTAGTGCGTATATGACTTTTCATGTCTGTTAGTATTTGTTTTATATAGTTGGGCGCACTAGTGTTTGGTGCATAGATATTTATGATTGTCATCTCTTCCTCTTGGATTGTTCCCTTTACAAGGATGTAGTGTCCTTCTTTGTCTCTCTTAATCAGTGTTGGTTTGAAATCTACTTGATCTGCAAAGAGGATAGCTACTCCTGCTTTTTTTCGGGTTCCTGTCACATGGAGTATTGTTTTCCACCCTTTAACTTTCAGTCTATGAGTTTCCTTTTGAATTAAGTATGTTTCTTGTATGCAGAATATTGTTGGATTTTGCTTCTTGACCCATTCTGCCAGTCTATTTCTTTTGATTGGTGAATTGAGGTCATTAACATTGATGGTTATAACTGAAATGTATTGACTTGTCATTGCCACGACTTTTTCTTTTTGTTGGGTTCTCCCCCTTTCCATTTAATTTCTTGTCATGCCAGATGGGTTCATTCTGCTTTGCTTCCTGGGGGTGTGATACTCAATGTCCGTTCCTAGGATATTGTGTAAAATTCTTTGGAGTGCTGGTTTGTTATTCACGAAATTCCTAAGGTGTTCTTTGTCATGAAAGTATCTTATTTCTCCATCAATTTTGAAAGATAGTTTTGCAGTGTACATCAATCTGGGTTGGAGGCTGTTTTCTTTTAGGGCTTGGAATATGTCACTCCAAGCTCTTCTTGCCTTGATGGTTTGTGTTGAGAAGTCTGCTGTGATTCTGATGGGCTTTCCTTTGTGTGTGATTTGTTTCTTTTCTCTAACTGCCTATGTGTATGCCTATGTGTAGATTTTTTTTTGATCAAGGCTATTTGGAGTCCTATATGCCTCATTTATCTGTATGTCAAGCTCTTTTCTCCTGCTTGGGAAGTTTTCTGCCATTATTTCTGTGAAGAGATTTTTTTATGTCATCTGCACTCTCTCCTGTTTCTTCATTGATGCCAATCAGTCTTGTGTTATTCTTCTTTGCATCATCTAGCAGCTGCTGGATTGATTTCTCATGTTCTCTTATAGTTTTGAAGCAGTTTTTCTTTTCCTTGTCATTAATTGCCATCTTATCTTCTATATCTGAAATTCTGTCCTCACATTGGCTCATTCTGCTGTGTAGACTTTCAATGGAGTTTTTCATCTCCTGGAAATCTATTTGCATCCGTTTTATGGATTCCATTTGTTTCCTATGATGGGATTGAGATGGACTAAGAATGATGTCTTACATGATAGCAGCTTTTATGTGGGACTGAAAAGATACATTAAGAAATCTGTTAATTATGACAAGGTGAGAAGAGTCATAGAATAAAGAGGAAAATCCATCTATCCTCCATAGCTGATTAGTAGAAGCTTTTCATAAGTATGCAAAGTTAGATCCATCTTCCAGAGAGGGACAGGGACTGATGTGCCATCATTTCATTTGTCAGTCAAGCCCAGATCTTCAATGCAAATTGCAAAAACTTCAGACGGAACCCCATATGCTTATGATCCAATTGCTGGACACAGCTTTCTCTGTGTCCAACAATCAGGATCCAGATGTGAGGGAGGAAAGGAAGGCCAAAATTATGGCAGTCACCTTGGGCAATGCTTTATTTACACTGCCCCAAGTGGCCCAAAAGAAAACCCATCGATGATCAAGGAAAGGGCTCCTGCTTTAAGTGTAAAAAGACTGGACATTGGGCATACAACTGCACCAGACCACTGCCCCATTCTTCTTCCACGTGTTAGGTGGCCAGTGTGCCTAATGCATGCCATGGGAGGACTGATTGTCCCCCCTCCCAGAGAGGGTGAAGCCAGCCACAATGCTCATCTCCTGCTCTGATGAGGACTGAAGGTGCCTGGGGGTACTTATGACACCTTGGCTATGGATATCACCATCTCCCATGAGGAACCCAGGGCAACCCTGGATGTAATAGGTGTGTCAGTTCAGTCACTGGTGGATATAGGGGCAGCTCATTCTGGTCTAACCTCCTTTTCTGGAAAGCCTTCCTGCAGATATGTAGTTATAATAGGAGATGAGGGGACCTGGGTCAGAGCTTCTCTACTCCTGCACTGTCATGTCAATTCAAAAGCCAAATATTTACCCATGAGCTTTTGATTGCTCCATAGTGTCCTACTCCCTTGCTAGGAAGATATTTACTTGCAGAGTTGGGGAAGTTTTCAAAATCCAGCAAAGACCAACCAGATTTTACCTGTTGGGACTGCATCAGGTCTCCCTGGCATGATTAGCCAACAGGTAAACCCAGCTGCATGGTATAATGGACTAACTGGTGGCGCGAATGCAGCAAAGCCAGTAGTTATAAGACTAAAAGAACCCACCCAGTTTCCTAACAGAAAGCAGCATCCAATCAAGAAGAGGCCCATAAAGCCCTCCAGCCTCTCACAGGCAGGTTTCTCAAACACGGCCTTCTGCTGCATTGCCAGTCCCTTGCAATACTCCCCTTCTCTCTGTAGTAGAACCTACTGGAGAACACAGGATGGCACAAGACCTCTGCCTCATTAATGAGGCTGTCATCCCAATCCGCCTAGATCCCTATTTGATTCTTTCACAGATTCCAGGAGACATAAATTGGTTTTCAGTTCTAGACCTTAAAATTGCTTTCTTTTCTATTCCACTCCATCCAGATTCTCAGTTTCTATTTTCCTTTGAATGGGAAAATCCCATTTCAAGGGAAAAACAGTAGTATATGTGGACAGTTCTTCAAGAGGTCTTTAGAGATACCCCTCACCTTTTCACCTGGGCACTAGAAAAAAGGCTTAAAGAACCTACAGCTTAAATAGGGGACCATCGTACAGTATGTAGATGATATTTTAATTGCAACCCAACTTTGGAGCTCTCCAACTATGCTACCCAAATCCTTAATTTTCCAGCTAAGAATGGATATAAAGTCTCAAAGGAGAAAGCTCAGATATACCTCCAGAAAACCCAATACTTGGGATACACCCTTATACCTTGGGATACTTGGGATACACCTTGGAAACAACAGCTGTCTAGGACCATATCCAGGCTATCTACAATTTGGGGCCCACTGCCACCAAACAACAGCTTCACTCCTACCTGGAAGTAACTGGCTTCTGATGGCTTTAAACCCTTATTTTGGACTAATAGCAAAGCCTTAATATGAGAATGTCAAGCATCCTGATGTACAAAATTGAGTGACAATATATTTTTAGAAATAAAACATGCCCTTCCTCAGGCTCCAGCATTAGGGCTCCCTGATTTAAGAAAATCCTTCTTCCTATATATTTCAGAAAAGAGAGGAATTGCTTTGACCATCTTAACCCAAAGACTGGGAAAAGAGCTTCATTTAATAGGCTATTTTTCAAAAAAGTTAGATGCAGTGACCATTGGTTGCTGAGCCTGCCTGAGGACAGTATCAGCTAAGTTATGCTAATGGAAGAAGCTCTGAAATTAACTTTAGGATAAAAACTAGAGGTCCTGACTGCTCATCAGGTCAGGGATATTATTGAGATGAAAGGCTACTTGTGGTTGACAGTGGAATGGCTTACCAAGTACCATGCTTTTAGATCCCCCTGAGGTGACTATAAAGATTCGCACTATTCTTTACACTGCTTCATTGATTCTTACACAGGCACAGAGATTAGCTGTTCTTGTGAACAACTCCCAGACTTATACAAGCAGGTAGGGGACATCAGTGGCCTGCACCTCCAAGACCCTGAGGAGGTG